GCGAGCTCTCTTCCCCAAGGTAGTTAACGCATCGTGTGCTCCCCCTTCCGCCCCCCCTCCCCCACAGTGCCAGGTAGGGAGGAACCCAGAGCCCAAGTGGCCCATGCTCTAGGAACTGAACCTTGGTGTTCAGAGGCCTGAAGCCAGCATCATTGTGAAGCTTTTGAGATCTAAGCACCCCTCCTTTTAGGTGAAGAAACCCTGAAGGTGCAGGGAGGAGAAGGGACTTGCCCAAGGTCACCCAGAGGCCAGGCCAGTACTCAAACCCAGGTCCTCTGGCTCTCAGGTGCAGGTTTCTTTTTTTTTTTTTTTTTAAAGATTTTATTTATTTGAGAGAGAGAGAATGAGAGACAGAGAGCACGAGAGGGAAGAGGGTCAGAGGGAGAAGCAGACTCCCTGCTGAGCAGGAAGCCCGATGTGGGACTCGATCCCGGGACTCCAGGATCATGACCTGAGCCGAAGGCAGTCGCTTAACCAACTGAGCCACCCAGGCGCCCTCAGGTGCAGGTTTCTGACACTCAACCTAGAGCAAGTTTCTAATCCTCCCAGGTCCTCATTTTCAGGCAGACCAAAATAGTCCCCAACAATGTATTATCAGAGCCTGGGAGGTAAATTCTGCCTCACATGCCAGATCTGGAAAAGCCCCAAATCCAACCTCCCCTTCATCTACCCCCATTTCATAAATAAGCAAACTGATACCACAAAAGCAGAAGGGACCTCCTCAAGGTCACACCAAACTGGAACTAGAACTGAGACTGGATTCCGTGTCTAGTTCTTTGAAGAAAAATTAAGCATCATCAACTAATCCATTCATTCAACAAAGGGTTTTTTTCTGTGGGTTTGTGTGTGTTTGTTTTTGTTTTTTGAGAGCCTAATAATGCCAGGCTCTATGCTGGTTGCTAAGAATACAAGGGTAAAAAAGACAGTCCGAGCTGGTAGGGATATGAGGGGGCTCCTGGGCAGGAAATGTTCTGCATCTTGATCTGGGTACAAGTTACATGGGTGCGTTCAGTTTGTGAAAATTCATTGAGTTGTACATTTTGGTATGTGCACTCATCTGAACGTATATTTCAATCAAAAAAATTTTTTTAAAGATTCCATTTATTTATTTGAGAGAGAGAGAATTGAGAGATAGAGAGCACGAGAGGGAAGAGGGTCAGAGGGAGAAGCAGACTCCCCGCTGAGCAGGGAGCCCGATGTGGGACTTGATCCCGGGACTCCAGGATCATGACCTGAGCTGAAGGCAGTCAACCAACTGAGCCACCCAGAGATAGACACAAGCATTGAGCTTCCAGAGCTACAGTATAGTAGAGGAGTTGAGATGTTAACTAATTACACCAATAATTGATTAATTACAATTGTGACAAGTAGCTACAACAAAAGTAGAAGGTGCTAAGGGCTGTGGAGTAGCCCTTAGCTCATGTGGGGTAGTCAGGGAAGTCTTCTCAAAGGAAGTGAGGGATAAGCTGAACTGTACAGAATGAGCAGGAATTTAGAGATAGGAATGATTCTCAACCCCTACCTTACCCGGCCCGAAAATTAACTCAGGATGGGGCACCTGGCTGGCTCAGTGGTAGAGTGTACGACTCTTGATCTCAGGGCTGTGAGTTGGAGCCCACACTGGGCATAGAGCTTACTTAAAAAAATAATAATTCAAGATGAATCACGAACCTAAATGTGAAAGCTAACACTATAAAGCTTCTAGAAGAAGATGTATGGGAATATCTCCATGATCTTGGGATAGGCAAAAATTTCTTAGGCATCAAAATCACTAAACATAAAACAGAATTGTCAGGGGATGGGGAAAAAACATTCAAAAACAGAGAAAACAATGTGTTGAAGGCCCAGTGGAAAGAAGGGGCAAGGTATATTAGAAGAACTGAGAAAAGGCCAGAAGAAGCGAAGGCAGGGGGAGAGTGAAGTGTGAGAGAATCCAAGAGGAGGTAGGGGTCTGAGAAGCCAGGGCGTTATAGGCTGGGTTAGGAACTGGGAGTTTATCCTGAGCGTACTAGGCAGTCAGAGAAGGGTTGTTTTTTTTTTTTTTTTTAAAGATTTTATTTATTTATTCATGAGCAACAGAGGTGGGGAGAGGGAGGGAGAGAGAGAGAGAGAGAGAGAGAGAGAGAGAAGCAGAGGGAGAAGCAGGCTCCCAAGGAGCAGGGAGCCCGATGTGGGACTCGATCCCAGGACCCTGGGATCATGACCTGAGCCGAAGGCAGACGCTTAACCATCTGAGCCACCCAGGTGCCCAGAGAAGGGTTTGTAAGTTTCTTCTTTCTTTTTAAATTTAAGTCATCTCTACACCCAATGTGGGGCTCAAACTCACGACCCTGAGATCCAGAGTCTCATGCTCTTTTGACTAAGCCAACCCGGGGTGTCCCAAGAAAGGGTTTTGGCAGGAGCAGCAATTGAAGCAACAGTTAGGGATAACTGGGTTCGCAAAATCAAGTATTACCTTCTTTGATGTGCCCAGGACTGCAAGGTATGGCCTATGCACAACCACGAATAAAAGGACACACCCCCCTTTCTCCCTGCTCAGCAATCAAAGACAGGCTTGGAGTTTTGCTTCCTTGCAAATCAAGATGTAGCTTTACAACTTGAAAAGTCACTTAACCCAGGTGTTGCAGGCGGGGACTTGGGCTGTGAGGCCCTGTCATGCCAGGCCCAACCCTGGTCTTAGAGGAGCTGGAGTCAGCCAGCTCCCACCCACGCCCCAGCTCTTGCCATAGCCCCACCTCACCCCTGTCAGCACCTGGACCTACTCACATCCTCTCCTTTCTCTCCTCCCTTGGAGAGGAGACTAAAGGGTCCCACCAGGAAAAGCCCAGAGGTCAGGAGTTTCCTTCACCCCCTCCTACTCCCACACACACACCAATATACCCAGCACCAGGGCCCAGCAGAGTCCAGCTGTCTCACCACTCAGGCCTTCTCCTTGCAAGGTGCTCGCTGAGGCGCTGAAAGTGGTGACTCCATTCAATTCAACCAACATTTCTGAGCACCTGCTGCGTACCAGGCAGGTGCTTGCGTAAAAGGGTATTATTCCTCCTCTCCAGGAATTCTTGGGGTAATGGGAGAAAGAGAGAGCAAAATATACAAGTGCTTTATAGAGGAGCAAAGTGCAAGTGAGTATAGAAAGTGAGACTGACTTCACCTGCGGAACAGGGTGTGAATATCAAGGAAAACTTCCTCTAAGTGGTGACATTTGAGCTGGGTCATAAAGAATAAGTAAAACCAACAGTAAGAAATGCTCTTTGTGACAGTGGAGGGTATTAGAATTATAGTGACCATTGGGGATGTCAGATACTGTGCTCAGCACCTTCTGTATTCATTTACTCCTTACAGTGACACTGTGTAGTAGGTATTAGAATTATGCCCATTTTCTTTTTTTTTTAATTTTTTTATTGTTATGTTAATCACCATATATTACATCATTAGTTTTTGATGCAGTGTTCCATGATTCATTGTTTGTTCATAACACCCAGTGCACCATGCAAAACGTGCCCTCCTCAATACCCATCACCAGGCTAACCCATCCCCCCACCCCCCTACCCTCTAGAACCCTCAGTTTGTTTTTCAGAGTCCATCATCTCTCATGGTTCGTCTCCCCGAATTATGCCCATTTTCTAGATGCAGTAACTCAAGGCCTAGAGAGGGGAACTGACTTGTTTACAAACTCTCATGGCTGTACGTGGCGGAACCAAGACTTGAACCCAGGTCTCTCTGCTTCCATGCTCTTAACTTCTACTACATAGAGTGGCTTGGGCAAAGGACATGTGGAGGAGAGGGGCAGGGGTGAGACTGGAGGGGTAGAGGCAGGGCTTAATGGCAGAAGCCTTGGTGAGGAGTATGGGCTTTATCCAGAGAGCCGTGGGGCCATGGAAGTTTCATTAGTGAAGGAGAGAGTAAAGAGGGATAGCACTCACACTCAGCTTTCTATACAGAGGGCCCACATCGAAGGAGTTAGAGACAGAGAAACCTGTGCAGGAGTTGCTACAAAAATCCAAGAAAAGGGCAGCTGGCTGGCTCATTCAGTAGCGCAGGTGACTCTTGTTCTCCGGGTCATGAGTTCAATCTCCACATTGGGTACAGAGCTTACTTTAAAAACATCCAAGACAAAAAAAAAATAAATAAAAATAAAAAAAATAAAAAAATAAAAACATCCAAGAAAGGGGCACCTGGGCAGCTCAGTCGTTGGGCGTCTGCCTTCGGCTCCGGTCATGATGCCGGGGTCCTGGGATCGAGCCCCACATCGGGCTCCCTGCTCAGCTGGAAGCCTGCTTCTCCCTCTCCCACTCCCCCTGCTTGTGTTCCCTCTCTTGCTGTGTCTCTCTCTGTCAAATAAATAAATACAATCTTAAAAAAAATGAAAATAAAAAAATCCAAGAAAGAGATGAGGGTCGAGGGACGGAGAAGAGGAGTTTACTGGGGAGAAACCAAGCAGAACTTGGGGATGAAATGGAAGGATTAGTCAAAGATGACGTCCGGGGTTTCTGGCCCATGTGTGCACTCCGGAGGGAAGCCCAATAATTGGTCTTTCACAATTTATTGGGCACCCCGTCCCCCAACCATGGCTCAGCTCCACACTTAGCACCTGCAAAACTCACTTCTGGGAGGTGCTTTATTCTCCTCCAAAATGTGTATTCATCACCTGCTTGTGTATTCATTCACCCAGGATACACGGAGCACCTACTGTATACCGGATGTTCTGGGAACTGGGGATAAGCAGGGAATAGGCTAAACCCGCCTTATTCGTGGAGTAATAGTTACAGCCTGGGGTCTGGATTTGAATCCTGGTTCTGCAATCCCTCGGTGCTCGTCTTGGCCGAGCCTCCAGCTGGCTGTGACCTCAGGGAAGTCACTGAACCTCTCATTGTCTCAGTTTGCTCACCTGTAAGATGGGAGAACTAACACTATCTGCCACAGGGACTAAGAGTCTCTGGTACTGGGTAAGCCTTCGGTGTCAGCTGTTCCCGGAGTTCACATTTTAGCAGGGAGACAGGTCCAATCACACAATTAATTATTTAATTACAACAGTGATAAGATACCCTGAAGGAGCGGTGCAGTCTGGAGGTGAGGGAAGGCTCCCCAGAGCGAGGGACGGTCCTGCCGAGCCGAACTGAGTGAGTCGGGCCGGCCAGGTGAAGCAAGAGGGAAGGCGGGAGGGTCAGGGGAGGCACAGGGGTGTCTGATTAGGCAGAGCCTCAGGCTGAAAGAGGTGCGGAGAGGTCCGTATTTTGGTCTGTGACTTTACCCCTTTGGAGCCCCCACACAATGCTGAGAGGTAGGTCAGGCAGATGCTCTGCTCCCATTTTCTAGAAAGGGCACGAAGGCCCAGAAAGGAACAGCGACTCGGCTGGTCAGTAACCAAGCCTCCTGGTTGATGCTCTGCCCCCACTGATCCAGGGAGCTGGAGAGGACAGGCCTGAGAAGAGGCCTTTGTCCCCGTGCCCACTGGGGTGGCAGCAGCAGGGGCTGAGGCTGCAGTTAGCCACCAGGGCGGCGGTGGCCAGAGCTGCATTCCTTCCCCTGCCGGCAGAGCAAGTCCAGGCTCATGGCAGGGGGCTGAACGTTCTTTTTTGTCTTAAAAAAAAAAAAAAAAAAGAAAAGAAAAAGCACTTTAGTCAACATTAAGTCTTGACTTCAAAGGACACAGCTCCCAACTCTCTCCCCTAACCCTGGGTCTCTCCAGCTCCCTGGGGTAAGCCCCCAGGCAGCCAAGTTTCTGGGAAAGGGAATGAGGCCTGGACTTGGAGTCCAAAGACTTTGTGGTGAGCCCTGGCTCAGCCTCCAACTTGCTGTGTGACCTCGGGTAGGTCAGCAGCCCTCTCTGGGCCTGAGTGTCCCCAGCTAAACAGGGAAGGGAGGGTTGGATGACATCAGGTGGGGTGGGGAGTCCAGCAACCGGCTCCAGCCAGCTGCAGCAGCTTTGCTGCCCTTCAAGTCTGAGGCACTGGGGCCTCGGGGGTCCGGAAGCTGGGGACAGGCAGCCTTTCATCTCTGCTGGCCCAGGGTCGCTGCAGGTTGGCAGGCCCCACATCCCGAGATCGCGTTTCAGGCTGGAAGGGGCCTTCCTGTGACCTCAGCCGGCCAGCCCTGCCCCTGCCCCCCTCCTCCCCATTCTCACCAGAGGGAAGCAGGCAGCATCCCGCCCAAGGTCACCGACCAGCAAGTGGCTGTCCTTCGGCCTGCCCTTCCCTCCCACCCGAGCCAGCACCGCCCCCCCCTGCTCCCCCCCCCCCCCCCCCAGCCTCCCACAGTAAAGCCTCAGGTCTCCTGGGCCATTAGGAATCCGCCAGGCGAGGCGTGGTCTTCTTCCTCTCTCTTGTTTCTTGGCTTGTTTTCCGGGTTCTCCAACAGCCGCCTCCTGCAAAAGCCTCCGGGTGCGTGTACAGGAACATTCTTCTTTAAAAAAAAAAAGAAAGAGAGAGAGAGAGAGAGATGCAGCCACAGTTTGGGTAAAAAAGCAACCAACTCCTTAATCCTTCCCTGTAACCTCTGGCTCCTCAGCTGGGAAGGAAGGCCCTGCTGGGCAGAGGCTGACGCTTATCCCCTACCCCCTCCTCACCCCCTCCTCACCCGCCTCAGCTCTCCTTCAGGGTTTGGCCTGACTTCTGGAGCCCCGAGGAGACAGGCTGCGGGGTTCAGCAGGGCTGGGAAAGCATGGGGGTCGCTGAAGGGGTTGGCTGGGTCTCTGCCCCTCTGCCCACTTGGCTGCCTTCTCAGGAGGTTACAAGATGAGGATTTTTCACCCCTCACCCATTGCCTCTACGCCCGTTTTCACTCCTTTCTTCTTCTGTTCCAGGAATCACTGGCCTCTTGACGGCAAGAGCCTGCACGCCATCTCCCACTTCACTGCTTCATTGTCCAGCACCGGGCTTGGCTCTTTCTGCAGGGCTCGTGCTTCCACACTCCGAGCCTTTGTCCAGCCGGACCCCGCCGTCCCACTGTCGGGTGGCGCTCGGTGTCCCTGCCACCTCTCGCTCTGCCCGCCGAGCCCTTAATTATCTGTTGCAGCCCTAGCACCTGGGTCAGTGCTTGAAACGTAGTAGGTACATAGTGTCTCTGGAATGAACGGATTCAAACCAGAAATAGGTCTCTAGAAACATTCAGAGTGAGCTCGCAAGAGGGACATTGGATTATGGTGCATCCCAGTTAAAGCCCAACCCTGCCTCCCTGGCTCCCTGAGAATCCAGTCCGATTCTCTATTGCCACCTCTTCCCACTTGCCAGCTCTCATTAGAGGATTTCCTTTTTCCCCAAAGTGCCATCTTTTCTGTTGCCTCTGGGCCTTTGCATGTGAAAGTCCCTCTGCTTTCCACACCCTTCTCCACCTCTCACCTGGATGACTCCCTCTGGCCTGTCACCCTGTCAGATTACCCAACGAGCAGAGCGACCACGTGTTTAGGGTACCAGCAAAGCAGGGACACTAAATATATATATATATTATTTTTTAAAATATTATTTTATTTATTTGAGTAAGAGCATGAGGAGGGGGAGGGGCAGGGGGACAAGCAGACTCTCCGCTGAGCGGGGAGCCCGCCCCTGCTAGGTGGGGCTCGATCCCAGGACCCTGAGATCATGACCTGAGCCAAAGGCAGATGTTTAACCGATTGAGCCACCCAGGTGCCCCAAAATATTATTTTAAAAAACTAATTTGAGGGGCACCTGGGTGGCTCAGAGGGTTAAGCGTCTGCCTTCGGCTCAGGTCATGATCTCCAGGTCCTGGGATGGAGCCCCATGTCAGGCTCCCAGCTCAGCAGGGAGTCTGCCTCTCCCCCTGCTTGTGTTCTCTCTGTCTCTCTCTCTCAAATGAATAAATAAAATAAAAAACTAATTTGATGTTTGATAATTAAAAAAAAAACATTTAAATAGCACTCATGAGAAAAATTAGAACTTTATTAGGGTTCCTAACTCTTATTTTAGAGTTAGCATTGTTTTTGTGTTGAATTCATACATGGGCTGGAGTGGCAGTAGGTGACATCATCTGGCTCTGCTCTTTGAGGCTCAGCCTAGCCATCAGCTATCCCCCCAAGAAGACTTCACTGACCCCTTGACAGGGTTAGGTCTCTTTTTGGTAATCTCAAAGGCCTTCTGGAATTTTCTTAATATGGATATTTTTGCCTTACTTGTTGCTTTCTATCCCCCCACACCAAGTATGGAGGCATCTTCAGGGCCCAGTTAATATCTTTCCACCTCTACACCTGCAGCATATACATACAGGTCCTGGCATAGAACTGACCCCAGCTATGTTATTCTCTAGCTTTTATCCAGTCCCTTTTGCAGGGTCTGCACTACCGTCATATATATATATATATTTTTTAAGATTTTATTTATTTGACAGAGACAGTGCACAAGCAGGGGGAGTGGCAGGCAGAGGGACAAGGAGAAGCAGGCTCCCCGCTGAGCAAGGAGCCCGAGGCGGGGCTCGATCCCAGGACCCTGGGATCATGACCTGAGCTGAAGGCAGACGCTTAACCGACTGAGCCACCCAGGTGCCTCCTACATGTCATAGTCTATGTTCTTACTTTATAACCCTATCTGAGAAACTCATACTCACCCTTCAAGGCCCCACTCAAATGACCCATCCTCTATGAACCTGCGCAGTCCCTCAGTTGCATTAGGTTGAGTGTAAGCTTTTGTGAGCTCACGGCTCCTGCTGCAATTGGTGTTTCCCTCTTTTATTGTATATTTTTTAAAAGATTTTATTTATTCATTCGAGACACAGAGATACAGAGAGAGAGAGAGAGAGAGAGAGAGCGAGCATGAGCAGGGGGAGAGGCAGAGGGAGAAGCAGGCTCCCCACTGAGCCAGGAGCTGGACGGCGGCTCCATCCCAGGACCCTGGGATCATGACCTGAGCAGAAGGCAGATGCTCAACGACTGAGCCACCCAGGTGCCCCTCCCTCTTTTATTGTAATTTTTATGTATGTAGGGGCTCAAATACATAAATTTTAAAAATCTTAAAAAAAATTTTTTTTATGTATTTTCTCCCTCACCAGATTGGGAGCTGCTGAAAAACAGAGACTCCGTGGATGCATCACTGGTCCCTAGTGCCCTGCATTGGCCTGGCCAGAGGAGAGAGCAATATATGCTCTTTAAATGAACAGCCTGGAAGATGTCACGAAGGAGGGAAAATTCAGGCAAGATTTTGAATGTGGGAGAAGAATAACATGTACTCACTGGGGGCATAGAGTCAGTGCAGATAAAAACAGATCACAGCAACAATACTCCTGACAACCGGTACTGAGCACACCGTAGTGTGGTAGGTAAGAACGGAGATGAAGCTCTGCCTCTTACTGGCTATGTGACCTTGGACAAGGTATCTCATCTCTCTGTGCCTGTTTCCTCATCTGTCAAAAGGGGAGAGTAAAGGTACCCACCTTACGGGGAATTCAATGGGCTAATATCTGCAAGGTGCTGAGAGCTGTGTTGGGCACGCACAGGCGCTTGTGTTTGCTCCATCGCCAAGCACCTCGGGTGTGCCAGGCACTTCCATCTGGCACCCCACCTAGCCCTCACAGCAGCCTGAGAGGCAGGGCTGTTGTGTCCTAAAAGGGCACAACAAGAAATGAGGTGTGTGGGAGCCCAAGGTTCTTGCTAAGGCCATTTACTGGATAGGGGACAGGAATGGGATTTGTTCTTTTTTTTTTTTTTAAGATTTTATTTATTTATTTGAGAGAGAGAGAATGAGAGATAGAAAGCACGAGAGGGAAAAGGGTCAGAGGGAGAAGCAGACTCCCTGCCGAGCAGGGAGCCCGATGTGGGACTCGATCCCGCGACTCCAGGATCATGACCTGAGCCGAAGGCAGTCGCTTAACCAACTGAGCCACCCAGGCGCCCAGGAATGGGATTTGAACCCACATCTCTCTGGCCTGCCACCCACCCATGTTCCTTGACTGTGGCACCTGCCTGCAGGATGAGGGGGAGGAAGAGAAGTTGCCCCAGTGGGAAGGCAGGGAGGCTTTCCAGAGCTGGGGCCTCCGGAGCAGAGCAGCAGGCGTTTTTCTAGAGCTTTCATTTCTGTCTCCCTCTTCTGAGCAGGTGAAAAACCCCATAGAGGGCCCTTCACGGAGTCCTCCCCCTCCTGATGCTGCCTCATCCCCCCACGCTGGGAGGGGGGAGGTCAGGCATGCAGCGTGGGAGATGGAGGGGAGGGGAGTGAGGAGGTAGGGGAGCATCATTCCAGATCCTTTCCCTCAGGCACCCCCCTTTCCCCATCACAGGCGCTCCGGGAGGAGAGAGCATTCCAGGTGGAAGGAATGGCAAATGCAAAGGCTGTGGATTAAGGATGTGGAGGCGGGGAAAGCCTGCGAGCTTGGCTGGAACCGAGGTTCAGGGCCCCCTGGGATTGCTCAGTGGAGAAGAACTTGTTTGACGAGAGGGAGGGGGGGAGGGGGGGGGAGAGAGAGAGAGAGAGAG